TAAGTAATATAAGAAAATTACTTCCCTATATTCATTTATTTATATTAAATACAACTGACCTATTTTTAATGCGAAAGAAAATTGTGTGTATAATTTAAAGGTCCAAATAAGCATAATGATAAAAAAAAAAAAAAAAAAAAAAAAAAAAAAAAAAAATAAAAGTATTCATTATAAATATTATTAAGCAAAAAATTGACCAATAACTTTTTTTACTTTAGTAGAAAAGTATATTAGTGATATAATATTCAATATCTGATTGATTAATACAGTTTTTACTTTCTATTTCATATTAGAGAATAAATTATGCATTTATACGTAGCCGATTACAAGTTTCTTCATCTTTTCCTCGTTAATTGTCCGTAATTGAAATTGTACGATTAAAACTGCTGTTAAAAAAAAAAAAAAAAAAAATTTTAATTTTGTTTTACATAACATTTTCAAAAAAAAATGATATCCACTGTCCACTTTCCATTCCATATTATATCATTATTACGTGGACTTGTGCCCAATGCTTTGATCCTTAAGAAAAAAAGTATCCTACAATTTATTCATCCCCATATCTCGTGTCTCAACTTATATTTCCTTCATAAGCCAATATTCTTTAAGCTTGAAAGTCGAATTTAATTATAAATTTACATGGGAAATTACGTATAATCACTTGAGAAAATTAATAATTCATATCAAAGTGCTGAGTTTTTTATTTTCAATGTAAACATTACGAATATTATTAACAAGCTTCTAGAAAATTGACGCACTTCAAGAAACGAATTAAACTGTCCTAGCCAAATAAAGCCGATTCTCTTGCTCCGTTTGTTTGGCAAATCGCTTTAAAGTTCTTTAATGAACCGATGTAAAACGATAACACAAAATGCGGAATATTTACCATATCAATTGACGCGAATTATAATTTTCTTCCCTGTCTCGTGACGGTTACTGATACTGATTTTTTACCAAATACCAATGAGCGAAGTTTACCTTTCAAGCGTTGGGTGCTGTAAGACATTAACAACACTCTCAACAACCCCATCATATGCGTGACAGATGACGGTGTCGAAATAGCTAATTCCTTCATCAATGATTTCATGATCTAGGATTGTAGGTAAATATCCTCGTCTGCAATATCCACCAGGTGCCATCCATCCGAATCACTTAATGGTGCATGTGGTGGCTTTAAAAACTGTCCATTTTCTCGAAATATAGACTCTCGTAAAAATTATTCAACATCGCAACTACATATTTATATGTAATAATAATAATTTATTTAGAATTACTAAGCCATATCGGCATATTCGTATTAGTATATCCGTAAAACTGTTGAAGCGAAAATTGTTTTTCATCGACAAATTCCGAACTCCGATGAACACTTAAAATTTCCAAATAATATATTATTTAAGGAATATATGTCTCAAGTTTCGCAACCTCCGTCGAAATTATTTTATACTAAACAATATCCTATGGATACTCGTAAAAAATAATATATATGAACAAAATGTATATCTTGTAGCTTTCCTCTTCTTTAATTACATACAAAAAATATATAATAAATAGTAATAAATTAAAATCGAAATCTAACACAATTGTGTTTAAATATTTAATCGTTGTAATGACTATTTGTTTATATAACAATCGATATTTCATAACAATTTTAAATATAGTATTAGTAAAAAATTACGGTATTAGTAAAATTGCTAAAATGTTATTTACTTTTTAAATCAAAATCATTGTTTAGATAAAAATTGTAGAAAAATTTAGAATAATTTTTACAAACAAATATGGCGCAAAATTATTGTAATTTTTAGTTGCAAAAAATAATGTAAATCCCGCAACTGTTATATTAATGAATTCATATATTCAATTTATTCATGTAATCGCAATACTATGAACTAGGAACTTAATTTTCTCATCGAATATTCAATATATTTATATATTATTATTATTATTAATTCACTTTGCAAAGCAACTAAGCCTATTCGTTTTATATAAATAATTTTACCCGCCATACTACAGACATTTCTTTCTAAATGTTTGTCTTATTAGTACGATTGTGATCTTATAGATATTATTTGTTCAAATAAATTCTTACTAAATCTTGTTTTTTTTTTAAACTTATACTACAAAATACTTATAAACCAAAAATAATAATAACAGCATTATTCTAATTTAATAATAATAATTAACGATATTTTATATATTTAACAATAACAAATAATTTTATACTATTTTAATAATATACGATGTTAATTAAGTATGAAACGCTTACAAACTGGCTATAAAAAATTTTTTTTCAAACGTCCATTTTATAACTTTCATTACTAAAGTTACCGATCATTTTAATTCCTATTTTTAATCAAATAAAGTATTTAAGCATTTTATGCTTTGGACTAGAAGGAACACGATGTTCTTGTCGTATATACTTTCATAATAATTACTAACGCACGTACATCATTTATACATAATAATACATTTAGAATAACGTATTTGATGACCATGACCCGAGGTCTTTGCTTAAGTAATACAAATTATTAATATCAACTATTTTTAAATTTCAATCTAAGATATTGATATCAATAATTTTTCTAAACGATAGACCCAATGCCAGCGATTTTAATTCTCTTTTTCCTCAATCCAAACTCGTACGTATATATCTATGTCCCGAACAAACGCAATAATTGTATTTTTAAATCTAATATTTTCAGATACGTAGTAAATTTAGGCATTGGAGTAAATCAACAAAAAAAGAGTATAATAATTAAAATAAATATAAATACATAAAAACTTAAAATATATTATAATTAAAAACATTGTATATATAAATATATATATATATATATATATATATATATATATATATATATATCATTACATAGGACTTGTAATTCTAATAATATTTGGTGGATTGACAAATAAATCTGCAATCATTCAATGATTATACGAATAAGCACATGTACACTTTAAATGCAATAGTAATTATATATTTAGAATTTTGAAAAAAATATTGAAAAAACAGTTGGCTAATAACAGCTGATTCTAGAATTTGTTAACTTTTATAGCAGTTTTAATACGAATTTTTACAATGACAATACGATTAAGCATTTTTCGATTATAGTTTATAATACAAGTAACATAAATGTTTGCCATAGAAAAAATAATAGAAATAAAATTAATCGTTTTATACAAAATACTAGCTCTTTTATTGCAAAAATTGTTATTTATTATACTTTTCGATTGAATACAAAGTATCTATCAATTATGCAATAAATGCATGAATTTTTGTTATTTTTCATGGATTTTAAACAAGTTTATTATTAAATTCAGACGAATGGGCGTAAAAAAAAAACAAAAAAAAAAAAACTATTTAGTTTAAAATATATATTACATCAATTTTATACGATAAAAAGTTGATTAAGTAAAATATTAAAAAATACAACTTGAAAAAAAAATCTATACTAACAAGATTAATATTTAAGGAAAATAATCGGATCATCCACGATATTAGAATATTAAATCAAGAAGGCATTCGGTGATATCATCAATTCTCCTGAAAATTTAATAAGAAACAAGTCGGAATATATCATTCTTCTCCGTTTAAAAACTGTAGTAGAAGGTGTACAATAATAACATACATCATTGAATCATTGAAATGAATGATTATATTACCAATGTTAATTTAGTTTAACGAGTGTCTACTATATCAGCAGTAATAACCTAAATTTATTATATTTAATAAATTAATATGTAATTATATCTGCTGAAATCATTTTAAAAAATTTGATAAAATTATATTTTAATTTTTTATGCTACAAATAAGCATACAGTAACGACAAATCCATGAACCTTCGAAATGTCCACTTCACTTATTAAATCTCGATAAATTCGATAAATTCTATCACAACATTATCTAAAGTACTTATGAAAAATGATAAACGTATGCTCCAGTTGCGGAATCCCCTGTCGCGGATGCAAGCACAGGATGAAGGCTTTAATTAATGAAAAAATGAGCCGATCAACTTCACTTTAATATTATTCAATCCCACCTCATATGTATTAGAATTCTACGATTTTTATTATATGTTGTTTATTAGTTTGGCAATACCGAATCATCTTCAAAGCTAATCTACAAATTTTTAAATATTCAGGGAAGGAGATTTTTTTTTATCATCTCTAAGATAATTATACCAAATCATTGTCATTTTCGTAGATGCGTATTAATGGTCATATTAATATTATTAATATATAATGTAAATAAATTATATAACATAATTTACTATTATTATTATTATATATTACCAAATTCACGTGCTATAACTTTGATAATAAAT